ATCTCTTAGACTGTAAGGTGCCACAGGACTCTTTGGTGCTTTTTACAGATCCAGACTAACACGGCTACCCCTCTGATATATGAATGAAGAAAGGCTATAATGACTAACAGACTGTACAGTCCCAGCCTGGAGCTGAGGCAAGTTATAAAAAGATGGACCATGTTGTTGCAGAGCACAAGCTACAAAAATATGCATTCACAGTAGTTCACATCATGTTGGGTGGCTCCACAGCATGCTTCAGGGGAGTATTTGCTATTTTCCTTATAGACTCTGGATAATGTGACTGGCCACAAAGCTAAAACCTGTGACATGCCAGATTTTGTGATTCATGGACAGCCATGAATTTGAGCCTGAGGGGTTAATAAATTAACATGCCACTGATAATCAGAATATAAGGTATTTGTTGTGCCAGCTGGTTTAGCATGACTTTTTTACTTGACAAAAAATGGTAAAAATAACTGAGGGTTGATTGGGAGGGTTTTTGTTGTTGTTTTGGTTTTTTTTTGTTGTTGTTGTTTTTTTGGTGGGTTTTTTTTTTTTTTTTTTGGTTTTTTGAGGCATTTGTAACAAATGAGGTACCTAGATTGTAATTTACAGAAGGAGTTGCTGAGATTGGGAGGAATTAATTGTAGTTCTTGGTAAACGTTTTGTATTTAAAGCTACATTTAATTAGATATTCCAGTCTTGGTGTAATTCCCAAGAAGCTAAATCTTGAAATTGCCCTTTTATCTTTTTTTAAATTAATCAGCTTTGTAAGTCCGGCATTATTCCTAGAACAAGGAAGTGTATCAGAAGGATAAATGAGGCATTAACAGATCATTACTCATGGAAAAAAAATATTTGAGGCTCACTCCATTTTTAGAAAAGAGCAACCTATTAAAGTAAAAGGATGATTTTGTGGCTCAAGGCACTGAACTTCAGGAGATCTAATTCAATTCCTGGCTCTGCCTGATTTCCTGTGTGATCTTGGGCAAGTCACTTAGGCCCAGATTTTTAAAGGTTTTTAGGCATTCCTCAGCTAAACACTGGAAGGCCAAAGTGACTTGGGCCCCTAGGCACTTAAGTCCCATTAACTTTCAGTGAGACTTAGGCTACATTGACACTGCAGTCGGAGGTGTGATGGCAGCTTGCGTAGGCTTTACAAGCCTTCTTTGAATCCTGGGTAAGGAGCCACTGTGTCTTCACTGCTGTTTTTAGGCATGCTAGCATGGGTATGCCTACCCAAACTGCAATCAGGCCTTCAACTGCAGTGTAGACATACTCTGAGGCTATTTCGATGCTGCGCTGCATAGTGTGGACTACAGGGGTGTGAACTGCAGTGCGCACCAAAGTGCTGCGCTGTAACTCCCGCATGCGGACACTGCCAGCATGATACCTAGTTCGCGTTAACTCAGCCCTCTTCTAACAGGACTACATTAGTACAAACTAGGTACCTTTTAGGTCATGCCAACAGGATCCACATGGGGCGGATACAGCGCAGCACTTTGGTGCATGTTGCAATTCACACCCAGCCTAAACTGCAGGGCTGTGTAGACAAGCCCGTAGACTTGTAAATCAGATAAATGTTGCAACACTGAGCAGAACACCTAAATACCTTTAAAAATCTGAGCTTTAATTTCTCTGTGTCTCGGTTTCCCATTTTTTAAAAAAGGGAAAATAATACTCCCATTGTCTGGCTTGTATGTTTAGGTTTTAAGCTCTCTGAGACAGGAAGTGTCTCCCACTATGTTCCACTATGTCTGTTTAAAACTTTTAGCGTGATCTTAATTGGAACCTCTGGTGCTACTGTAGTACAAATAATGAGCAACAACAAAGTATCAGTATTAGTCCCTGAAGTTTTTCATTGCCTGTACAGTATATAGTTAGATTCTTTAGATGCAGATGTCTTTTTTTTTAAATGAAGTAAAGTAGTTATAATGGTGGTTTAGGGGCATATTCATTTTTGTAATAGTGACTTAACATTTACCAGGTTGTTTTAAGAGTAAAGCCAATATATTAATCTGTGTTTCGGGCACAAGTTAGGTTTGATAGTCAGCTAGGGTCCTCACAGACCTGTCAAATGAATGCTGTGTCATCTTGTAAGTTTCCACTAATTTGGGTGCAAAATTTGCTGGTCTGTAGGCGGTTGAGAAAATGTTCTGCCTGTTTCAGTTATAATTTAGTATCTGCACCCTGAGGTTCCAATTCATTAAGAAGTAAGTTGTTTTTGCACCCATAGAAGCCCTAGCAAAGCCAAAGATGCCACATAAAATAGATTTTACACAGCTTGCACATGTTTACGCAGCTTGGATATATTTTTAGTAGACTTATGCCAAAATTTTCACACTTGGGCACCTAAATTTAGGCATTTAGATCCATATTTAGGCACTAACTGAAGAGGTAACAGAAGCTGTGATTCCTTCCCCGAAACCTTTCTAAAGGTTTCAGTGTGGGACAAAAACAATCTGGCCCTGGATTTTTACAGATTTGTTTTCCATTGTCAATTAAACATCATATTTTTCAATCTAAATGGCTGGGATGTATAATTTGTGAGTGGTTTATGTGTTTACAATCCTGGTGAATGCAACAAACCACTAAGTTGTAAGACTCACTCGGTTCTGCCTATATAAACTCTAAATAGTCCTAAAAAATTAGGCTTAAACTACTATGTCGAAAGAACATTAGAGTACAGATACCATAGAATAAAATAAGTACCTAGCTTGAATTCACAGCTTTAGATAAAACTCCAGCCTATGGCACATGTATCATATTTACTATATGAACTGGCATGACATCTAAGTATAGAATCTAAAAAACATCTCAGTAAGTTGGTCCATTTGGCACATCATTTTTATGATTATTGAAAAAGTAGCCTGGATAGACAAAAGATTCTTCTGAAATGTAATTACCTGGGGTTTTTTTTATTCTGTGCCTGTTATCACAGTGAGGCTTTTTTGCATATAGTCATTAGCTATTTCTGCTTTAAGTTGCAGCCTCATTGAAAATTATACTGAATCTGAATTTTAGCTTGCCTTAAAAAGAAGCTATCAATATTGAGCCAAATCCTAAGGACCTTACTCATGTTCAGTTCAGTTGACAAAGGTCTATTGACCTTCTTAATAGTATTACCTGACTAAGCACTTCAGAATTTTACATTTACAATTAAAATGTTATAAGAAATATCATTTTAGAATTTGTAAGAATAAACACTTAGTGGGCTGAACCATCAGCAGGCGTAAGTGAGGATAGTTCCATTGAAATCCATGGAGCTATCGCAGTTTATAGCAACTGAGGCTCTGGCCTTCTGGTTTTTGTGCATGTTCAGAGAGTTAGAAATGCTGGAAAACCTCTGAAGGCTGCAAAGCAAATCTCTTCAACACAATTCATATAGTTTGCCATGGCTTCCAGAGAGCAGCCAAACATATGTTGGGGACAGATACAAAATTCTCACTGCATTTCAAAAGTAGTTTATTTAGGTGGTTTAAATTAGTTTTTTCCCATGACTGAACTGGAACAGAAAGCAAGGACTTTTGGAACCATGGAAATTCACTATCTTTAGTCTTTACTGCAATGACATTAGAAAGATAGTGCATAGAAATAAAGGAATCATTTATGCTAAATTAAAACTTTCCTTTTTATTTACAGTACCACAGAAAAATGTGGAACACAGCTACACATCCTCTTTCTTTTCCCCATTTCTTTAGTATGCATTAAGGCAACTTATAAGTAATACTTTTCCGTTTGAGTGTTGTCAGTTTCAGCCTGCTGTTCTCCACTTAAGAGTGTGGTATATAAACCATACCTGCTGGTTTGCTTAGAGAAGCAGCTGACTGCCAGTTCTGGGGATGGGAAGACATTTTATTCCTGTAGATAATTGGCAGTGCAGTGGAGTGGTTTTTACCTTCCAGAACAGCACTGACATTATGTATCACATTTTGGGCATTGTGTTTGTTCCTTGTTTGAGTTTTGTCTCATACTGTTTGTGGGCCAGTGTTGAGGATTCCCATAGGTGGGTTTGTTCTTTTGTTACTGCTTCGGTATTGGGCAGTGCATTGCAGAGGCTCAATCCAGTCCCACTGGAGTCCATGGAAAGATTCCTGTGGATTTCAATGGGAGTTGATCAGGCCCTTAATTCATTACCTGGCTTTATCTCTCATCCCAAATCAGAGAACAGGGCTGGGTGAGATACGTCATTGGCTCAATGAGAGAGCAAACTTGGTTAGGGAATTTAAACATCATTACAACTTTTATCGTACTCCATATTTGGTCCTATGCAGCAACAGCTATATTCTACCTGTTCCATGCACATTATTTCCACCTAGGTCCAATTACACAGAGATTCTCTGTGTGAATTTCCCACTGAAGTCAATAAGCGTTCCAGGCAAGAAACAACTACAGGATTGAGGCAGTTGATATCAATGGGAGTTTTGTGCAAAGGCTCTGGGGAAAATAGACCTGTGAGTTTGTATTCCTAGAATGCACCACTGAATGTTTGCTTCCACCTGAAACTAACCAAAGGCCCTATCCCGACATCCATTTGTGTACTGAAATTCTGATTTCATAAAGAATGATGGCAGGATATGGCCGGGGGAGTGTAAAATGAAATAGAATAAATACAATGATATGAGGTTTAAAAAAATTAAGGATTTTGGTAGTGTTAAATACATAAAATAGGCATGTATAGCCCAGAGTATACGTTAATACAAAGAGAAGACAGCACACATTGAGAGAAATATAAAGAACTGGAAAATGTTTCTCCATCGGTTTGCAACAGGAATTTTGCCTGAACAAGGGCTTGTTAAGGATTTGGCCTGTAACCCAGACTTCAACTGAATCAGATGGAGATGTTCAGTTAAGGAAAAGTAGATTAATTTCTCATGTCCTCATTTCCTTAGAAGTGTAGTTAAAATTTCCTTCAGTGAACTGGATTCATCATTGCTACATAAGGTACAGTCTTGAAATTTAATTGTAGAAAAGCCCCCCAAAAATCCTCACTTATGACTTTTTTCTTTTTCACCCAGATAAAGTTTATATTGTGCCTGAAACCAACCTGCAACTGAAGAGATCAAGATGAGCCTTAATTCATCTACCGAAGGGACTGTTAAAAGAATCCATGTTGACTGCCCAGTTTCAGGAAGGCATGCCTATATATACATTATGGTTCCAACTGTTTACAGCATCATCTTTATTGTAGGCATATTCGGGAACAGCTTGGTAGTCATTGTCATTTGCTTCTACATGAAATTAAAGACTGTGGCTAGTGTCTTTCTGTTGAATTTAGCCCTAGCTGACTTGTGTTTCCTAATGACATTGCCACTGTGGGCAGCCTACACAGCCATGGAATACCACTGGCCTTTTGGCAACTGTTTATGTAAAATAGCATCAGCTGTGGTAAGTTTCAACCTGTATGCCAGTGTGTTTCTACTCACATGTCTTAGCATTGACCGTTACCTGGCTATAGTACATCCAATGAAGTCCCGACTTCGGCGCACCATGCTTGTTGCCAAAATAACTTGCATCGGCATCTGGCTGCTAGCAGGACTGGCTAGTTTGCCTGTCCTAATTCACCGTGATGTATTTTTTGTCGAGAATATGAATATGACAATTTGTGCTTTTCGGTACAAGACCCATAATACAACACTGCCTGTTGGGCTAGGTTTATCTAAGAACATGTTGGGTTTTTTAATTCCCTTTTTGATAATTTTAACAAGCTACACCTTAATCTGGAAGACACTGAAGAAGGCTTACCAAATTCAGAAAAACAAGACCAGAAATGATGACATTTTTAAGATGATTGTGGCAATAGTACTTTTCTTCTTCTTTTCCTGGATTCCTCATCAAGTGTTTACATTTCTGGATGTATTAATCCAGCTACGTATCATAACAGATTGCCAAATTGTTGATGTTGTGGATACAGCTATGCCCTTCACCATCTGCATAGCTTACTTCAACAATTGCTTGAATCCCTTTCTTTATGGTTTTTTTGGAAAAAAATTTCAAAAATATTTCCTGCAGCTACTAAAATACATTCCACCAAATGTCAGAGCACATCCAAGTCTAACAACAAAAATGAGCTCCCTTTCCTATCAACCATCAGAAAACTTAAGTTTATCCATGAAAAAGACTATTGGGTCTTTTGACATTGAGTGATGTCTTTTGTGCTATATGTTTCTAGAACAACCTTGCATATCAAAGTTCACGCACAGTCCTGACCATCACAGCTTACTGCACATTACTAAGACATTAAATCATCTACTAGAAATCATCTTTGGAAGATTTAGCAGTGGCCTTTTATATTGTCAAGAGGACTGTTTGTTATTTTTATTTGAAGCAACCCAAGAAGGTGGCAGTTGGAAGTCTTTTAGCATCCTTCCTCAGAGCTCAGAACTTTGGAAGAAGCGTACATGATGCTCCTGGAAAGATCTCAGAACTTAGGTTAAGGCATGATCATTTGTGAATTATATGAACTCTGCAGAATTTACTTTCAACATACATAAGCAATTCTAAGCTAACCATTTGGAATTGTTATACAAAGTGTTGCCAGAGTCAAACAGAATGTTTGTTTTCTTTCACATGATATTTGGTGGGGATGGTGGAGAACAGAGCTATGTCTGAAATATGAAAAATATCCATTTTTCCTTGATACAAATGTTGCGTATCATTACATTTATAATATACCCAGTTGGTGAAAATATATATATTCTACATATGCAGGTCTCACTCCCATCTCAGATTGAGATTTAAGGATCAAGACTGTGTTCACATACATTTTTGCTATTATTATTCATTTTAAACATGGCAAAAGTTTATATAATATATGAAATAAAATGCAGTTTTATTTATTAAATATATTTTTTTTATAAATCTATATTTCTATTAGTTATATTCTATACAAGGAAACATTACTTTGTACACACACATTTTTATCACTATGTTAAATGTAGGTTGGGTATTTTTATGGCCATAGTTTATATATGAACCAGTCTTACTTTCACTGGACCATGAATATCCCCTATTGACTTCAGTGGGATTACTCATGGAATAAAATTTTACTTTATGTGAGTAAGAGAATCAGAATCTGCCCCATATTAGCAAAATATGGATATCCTGTGATAGAGGTCGTTAGCAAACTTTAAAGGATCAGCCAAAATTATTTTCATAGAATAATTACAGCACTAAATGAAAAATAAACACATTAATTCAATCCACTCAGAACTTCTCAAACTCCTACAAATGTTCCATTTTCGTCAGTATTTTTGGACACTCAAAACTCCACAAAGCAAAAATGTAATAATACTTATTGGGTCAAATTCTGCTCTCAATCATAGAAATGAAAATGTACGAATAAATTTTGCTCTCAATTTCTATATTTACACCAAAGTAATTATGAGCAGAATTTGATCCTGATGGGCATGGAATTATTCCCCTATTTACATCTGAATAACTGAGAGCAACATCTGGCCCAGTTAAAAAAAAAAATATTTGCAGACAGATTCTTGCCGATAAACCTCTAACTTTTAAAATAATTTTCTCACTATAAAGGATATTTAAGCACTGGAACTGGTTACCTAAGGAGATTACAGAATGCCAGTCACTGAAGATTTTTAAGAACAGGTTAGATAAACAGTTGTCAGGGATAGTCTAAGTATACTTAATCCTGACTCAGTGCGGGAGATGGATTAAATGTCCTCTTGAGGTCCCTTCCAGCCCTACATTTCTATGATTCTATAATTCTAAATGAGAACAGTGACTCCTCTTTGAGGAAACCTAAACTAATGACATAACATTTTCTTACCTCCTTTTTAATTCACCTAATAACTTTCCAGAAAACTTTGTTCAATTCTAATTTAAAATTGTCTAATCTCTGCAAAAGCAAATCATCTGTTTACAAAATAGTCTGGCAGAGAAAGATAAAAATTGAAGAAAAAGTTCCTGATAATTTCAGATGAATGATATAAACAAATACATAACAGTGAGATTATTATCCTAAATGCAGTATTTTCACAAATTAGAGATGACACATTTAACTAGTTTTTGAGTCTGATTGTGAGTTGTAGGATTATCCCTAACTTCTTAATACAGATATTATACACAGAGAAATATTATTCCAGGATTTATTTTCACTGTGGAAAATGAAAGGCACCATTATTGTTATATTATTTATTATATTGATTTTAATATTAAAGTATGGCTCAGAATTAGACAATGAAATATATGTAAATGATAATCACCTAAATAAACTTTCTACTTATGTATTTAATATCTTACATTTAGGCTAAATCTGCTCTCAGATTTGCACATGATATTTAATTAAAACCAATGGGAGATATGTACCCGAAGGCAAAATTTGGTCCATTATACTTTGAATAGTATCCAAAGTAGTTGCATTGCATTAAATACTCAATAAGTTGAAGCAGGAGTATTAGATTTTGATATATATATATCATTATTATATTATATTATATTATATGCACGCATTGATATTTAGGGCCTCATCTACCAGAGAGCATCCATCTTTCCCATTTGCAGGTTGGCTGGCTGTGGATGCTATCTGCTGGACCACGCCATTTATGTGTGTTGAATACTCATATATCAGCTTAAGATGAGAGATGATCTCCGTCTTCTCATGCATCTGCAAGCCAATTCATCTTCCCATCTGGGGTATGAGTTCCATAGGAGTAACCACCTCACAGGTTTGTGAGTGTTATTTTTAAAATTATCTGGGGGAAAAAACAATTGTCTAGCAGCAGAAAATGAACAGGGAGGTACATTGGTCAGTGGTTTTGATCACTTTGGCCTCAGGAAAGCTTGTGGCTTAGTAACAATTGCAGGAAAACTACTGCTTGGGGTTCTAAGCCTGTACAAATCCTGGGGCAAATAAGAGAGATGTATACTTGGATGTGTGACTATGGAAGACGTAGAGAAGTGGCGCACATGGTGTGTTTTTAATGAACAACCAACCCCACATTGTTAATTAGAGGGAGTAAGGGATTAATCTTTTGCTAAATAATTATTTAGTCATGGCTTTTATTGGAGGGGAGGAAGAGAATAGGTGCTAAATGTGGGTGGTTCCTAGTCTAGCATTTGCAAAACCAAATTAACAGATGGTGGATAAGAAACTACCCAAATACTACAGATTAAAATTAAGAAATCTTAAAAAAAAAAATAAAACGACCAGGCTTCCAAGTGTGCAGCCTCCAGGGACGCTAGGTGGAGGCAGCCCTGCTAACTCTTTTAAAACAGAGTCAGAAGAGTGGGAAGGACAGTACACCTCTACCTCGATATAACGTGACCCGATATAACACGAATTTGGATATAACACGGTAAAGCAGTGCTCCGGGAGATGGTGGGGGGCTGCGCACTCCGGTGGATCAAAGCAAGTTCAATTTAACGCGGTTTCACCTATAATGCGGTAAGATTTTTTGGCTCCCGAGGACAGTGTTATATCGAGGTAGAGGTGTATGTACAGTTCCCAGGCCCTCTGCAAAGCCACCAAATTGACATTTAAGAGCAGACTCATCCCTGGTGCTAGTACTATGGGCCGTTGCAGCAACACAAGAGTGTTCTTGCTTTTATGCCTCATACCTCCTAGCCTGCCCTGGAATGCTCTCCACAGGCCAAGTCTTGGTCTCTTGCACAAAATCTGCCTGAACTCGCTATGTGTAAGGGGGGAGACAGAGCACTAGCACAGCTCCTTCATAGCCACTACTACAGTCCACTGGCTGTAGTGACAGCAGCTGCCCCTAATATATGGGGAAGGGAGTAGGCCCAGTGAATCCACATAGTGAAGACCCCTCCCCCCCCCAGCCACACCTCCATTTCCTCCGCTCAGCTTCTGTGGAGAAAGCTGCCGCTCCACAATCTACTGCTGCAGTTCAGCTCTTTGCCTTTGGTCAGAAGGAAGGAGTAAGATTTGGCTCCTTAGACACTTCGGATGACTCCCATTCACTTCAGTGGGCCTTTAATCAGGCCTATATAATTTGCCCTCAATATAAATGCTAGTTATACTGGCCTAAGGAGAACAAACCCCTAAGGGCTTAATAAATACACGGTTTAATAAATATACTTTACACATTGTCCATGTATGCTGGAAGAAGGACAGGAGACTCTGGATGTGGTTTAATTAGGCCACAACTTTATTCTTAAATGTCTGGGAGTACCCAGCAGATAAAAGTGTACAGTGTAGGTAATTTCATAATCATTTCACTATATACAGGCGCTTCCATCAGCCTGCCCCCTTACCCATCCTGGTCCCCAGCCAGCCGGCTGCTGGGACCTCACCAAAATGATGGCTAGGGGCTGGCTATAAAGGAGGGGCCCCAAACACTTCCTGTTTCTGCTCTCTTAAATCTTTTACCAATCTACTTTATCTGATCACTGTATCCATTCCCTGTGGAGTACTGGTAATGGACATCCGCCCAACCATGTAAAGAGTTGTGATATTATAGCCTAACTCCCATTTCATGTTTGCCCCAACTAAGCCCCCTCAAACCCACTGTGGGGAAGGTGGAAAAACCCCACTTCACCCTGGCCAATCTGGCGGTGAAGGAAAAATTTCTTCCCAGCACCCCAAGAAAGGAGCAACTAACACAATGCCCACAGCAAGTCCTGACAAAACCTGGGATTTGACTACTTCCACAGGTAGGTGCTGCTCCATCTGGTTCACGTAAAAGAGGGCTTTTCCTGCACCAACATGGACCTTTATAGTCCCCCACTCTTCTGGTAAACCTGGGGGGATGGATCAACATCCCCATACTGACCTGGTCTTCAGCTGCAGCAAAGTCATTCCCTGGCTCTCTAACCCTTACAGGGGCACACACCTTTTCCAACAAGCCAGCCAAAGGTGCCCACAGCTTAATGTGTGGTGAGGTCATTATAATGTGACTATTTTAAAATAGATGCATTTATAGATCACCTTTCATCCTGAGAAGGGCCAAAGCACTTTATCAACTATGAATCTGTCTCAATACTTTCCTCTGTTAGTATGGGAAACTCCTGCAGATATTAATGGAGTCTCTAGCTGTGAATCAAGGACAGTATACAGTCCTAAATACAGGAATTACTTCACCCACTCTTGTCACTTCACACATATATGCTGTTGCCATGTTTGAATGAATATTTTGTATTTCCTTTCTGCTGGCAGAATCATGTTTAAGCAATGGTATACCTGAGATGTGCATTATATTTATTTCTATTTATTGTGCAATAGTACTTTATATGACTCATGTTTCATTCTGAACATCCTCCTACCCTGTACTTTGTGTTCTTATGCTCCATCATATATGTGCGCATTTACTGGACTAAATTCCAATGAAGACAATAGAGTTATATCAGGGATGAATTCGGCCATTATCTTAATGATTTTTATTTTACAGTGTTTGTCAAGGTACTGCGGAATGAATTATGCCAAAAGGTTTTTCTGATTTTCCAGAATTATCATTTTGTTAAGATTCTCATCAAGTACTTAAACAACAAGGAGTCTGGTGGCACCTTAAAGACTAACAGATTTATTTGGGCATAAGCTTTCGTGGGTAAAAAAACCACTTCTTCACATGCATGGAGTGAAAGTTACAGATGCAGGCATTACTTGGGAGTACCTCACAAGTGGAGAGAAGGTAGTACCTCACAAGGCAATGGCCCTGTCAACACTGGTTCTCCACTTGTAACTCCCTTCTCTTCATGTGTCATTATATAATGCCTGCATCTGTACTCTGTAACTTTCACTCCATGCATCTGAAGAAGTGAGGTTTTTTACCCATGAAAGTTTATGCCCAAATATATCTGTTAGTCTTTAAGGTGCCACCGGACTCTTTGTTGTTCTTGTGGATACAGACTAACATGGCTGCCCCCTGATACGTGTCATCATCTACTTGCAATTCTGGCAGCATCAGTGGCTGTGTATGTGATTCCCAGGTTTTTCTCTTTTCCTTGTGTAGCTCCAGTAATGATTCATCTCTCATCTAATGTGACTTCCTGTCAAAATATACTGTATATTACAATTGTACATGCTGATGTTCCCCAAGATAAGTTTTGCAAAGAAAAGAGGGCCAAATGTCAGAAACACTGAAAAAAACCCTACAAAGTGGGAGGTTGCTTATATTGAAAATTTTCATCATTTGAGTTTGTAGAAAGTTGTTTTTAGTATGATGTTAAAACAGTAAACACAAAATCTGTTCATTGTGTTAGTAATAGCTAGAAAAAGTTTTGAAAGGCATATCTTTGAAAACAGCATGACCAGATCCAGATATACAATATCTATCTACCCTCATCAAGCTATTGTTATCCCACTGCAAGGCCAAGGTCTCTTCAACGCTGTTCCTCTACATCATGCTGAAGGGCTTGGCCAAAACCCCATGACACCTGAGGGTGCAAGCCGACGAGGCTGAGTTATCAATCATCAAGTCCATTTCCCCAGCGACCTTGCTACCAAGGCTGAACTAACACATTGCTAATCCCAATGGCAAGAGTTGACAGGCTCATTGCCATTGATTGTCGCCTTAGGTCCAAGCCCTGTGTATACACTCATTGAGATCATTGTGCGGGGGAGAACATATGAATTTAAAGCAGCGCAGCAGTGAGAAATATGATAGTTGTAGTGGCTAGTGTGATGTCCTATAACTTTAAATAGATGTATGAAAAACTAAGCAACAAGATTTAAATATAGAATGTTTTCTACAGTGTTTTTGTGCAGATAATTTGTAAAGTGGTGAATGTTAACTGTTTGTTGCTTTATTAGAAATAATTTTAAATTGCATAAGGCCTTCTTATGTAACTGTATTATTCTTGTATAGGGTAAGAGTTGCTTCTGTTGTCTTTATTATGAACATTAATGCCTGGGTCATCATTTAAAGATAATGTTTTTCACAGGGGCAGCTTTCCTGTTATGTTGGCCATTTGGGAGGGACAGTTAAAACGTTTCCATTTTATTACAAGTACTTAAGAAGTATTAGAGATATGACGAAAAGCTGAAAACTAGAGAAAGTGGCAAATATAATGGCAGTTTGAATGAAATGTTAGCTCTGTTCCTCAATCATACCGAAGTTCTCATAATTAATACTACTGTGGTCGTTGTGCTCCAGGGAGGGTCTGATCCAATTCCCTTTGAAATAAATGTAAAGACTCTACCTGACTTCATTGTAAATTGGATCAGGCGCCAGACTCCAGGGAGTGTTTATTTGCAGAAAGAATGCAGGATTGGGCCCAAACACAGTGCTCAGAACTTCTAGGCTGAAATCAAATGGCACCACTCCTGTCTCTGTTTTGAACTCTAGAAACCATGCAAATCCTTAGCAGTGCTCAGCCCGCGGGCATAGCCTTGTAGAGATTTCCACACTGTAGAAAACAGATGAGGATTATAGTACATCTGGGCCTGTACATTTTTATTTAACTTACTTAGTCTCGATGTACTTTAATTATCCCTATTATTATTCATA